TGTTGCGGTTGAGTGATCACATCTAACGGTATAGGTAAACGAAATCAGATGTAACCCAATCGGTTAACATGAAATACCAAAGGGAAGATTTGTGTGGGACAACAACCAAAATTGGTAAAAAAAAAACATATACGTTTTAGGTGAACGAAAAAAGGCCTTTAATAAGGAATTAGTGGATTTTTTTAGATATCCGGAATTATGTTCAAAATTTTTTGTTGGTTTTAATTTTATGTTATTTTTAAATGTAACGTTTATTTTATTTAACCGAAGTAAAAAGTACATTGAGATACTGTTAACTGTAAGTAGGTATTTCCTAAACGTAGCATAGAACATAGAACGGTACATAGTATGGTGTAGTTTAAAATCAAAATAAAACTCAATCTAAACAAAGTATAGTTACAATATAAAACGATTACAAACACAGCAGTAGAGTTGTAGGCACGCAAGGCTCGTGTCCTCTGTCGGACAAGTGGAATAACTATCGAGTATTGAGTGGACAGGACCTATCCTGAGGCTTGTACACTGAGTCTTGTACATCGAGCAAAACATCGGAACAGTTAGATGAATATTGTCAGGTCTACATTAATTTGCTTTTGATATTATGAGTTATACAAGTGTTAATATTGAGTGTGAGGTAGTTTCAAACAAAAATGCAATTTAGCAATGGAAAAATATTAGAATTTAGCATAATATGACAAAAGTTGTGAATCAAATTTATATCATTGAACAAAACATCACCAAACATTTGTATTTTGTTTAGCATTGGCCAGTTCCAAGTTACTTTTAAGGTAATTAGCTCAGTTAAGTAATAAGATGAAATAACATAAACGACATTTCCCATATAACTTAGATCTGCAATAAACCAGACTCAGCTTGCTAATCCTCACGGTCACGCTTCACGCGGAAACATAAATAAATTAGATTTACTGGCAACCCTTAAATCCTTACTTAATCCAGTCAATCTGTGTCGGGCGCGATATTGTGCTAAAAGCTTGTTTAAACATCGCATTGGTATGGATTACTGGATCGGTTATAGTAAGACGTGTGAATAAAATACATACCCTTACTATGTAATAAAAGAATACATCATGTTCAAGGACAAGTTTATTTAATTCACTACGAAACTTCGCTTCTAAACTATGAAGAATAAAATATCATCGACCATCCCTATCTTTCCGAAAGGTATAAAAAGGAATTTGTAAAGTAAAATTGAAACAGAAACGATTACAGAGTATTCGTATTTATGTAGGCATTTGTATTTGGTTTAACTGCAGGTTTATGGCAAACTTTAATTTCTTTTTCAACAATCCAAAGCAATAAAGAAGCTGGCATGTGATGCAGCATGTCGTTCCTAGGCTGACGCAAGTATGTGCTATTGCGGCCGTGGGCGGAATTTTTTATTACGGCTGGATTCCGAGTAGCTCGTGCATTATGCGTACATATATGCGCTATGCGTGCACTTAGGGTTGTCACAAAAACTTGGATTGCATATGAAAAATTCATAAACACATCTTTTTAACTACAATCCCCTTAAGTTGTATAGGTGTTGTAAAAATAATTTGTGGTTGCATTTGATACTCGTGTTTGCAACGAAAAATAATTGAAAATGTTTTCAGTCTACT